ACGAGATTTATCCATCCTCACCGAAGAATCTCTTCTTCATACACTTTCGTACGAAATGAAAGTCCCCCTAACAAGCATAAGTAGTTCTTACTCAAATTTCTACCAAAATTTTTCACCTTTAACGTATTTCATGATATATTCATTTCAATAGCCTGTCTTATTTATCTTCTAACCACAGACGTACCAAAATCAGCAAACCTACTCGTTTCATGTCCAGTTTCTGGCATGTGTTCGGCTACTTCTGACTGTTGGGCATTTTTGTGTTCTCCCAATCTTTGTCGAATAGGTCGATATGTCTCAGCAAAATAACATCGACCACATGAGCAAACAATCTTGTAGCAGTCGGATCTCGATAATGGGTCATATTTCTCTCTAAAAGATGCCATAACAGAAGAAAGTGTGAGGGTTTCTTTGAGTACTGTTTTTATCCCCCACTTTCTTACTAATTTGCCTATCTTTTTTGAGATAAGACGACAAAATCAGGGCATGGCAAAAGGTCTCAATCTATCTCACTTTGACTAAATGGTCTCCTTCTGAAAATGTATTCTTCAGTAGACAGATATAATTCTGAATAAGGCCCAAAGGATAATTATTTTCCAGGAATATATTTGTCAGCCGTTCCAACTCTTTAGTCACATGTTTCCTATCCGCTAGCCTCATACTTCTAAGAATCATTGACTTCAAAATTCCAATTTTAATCTTATGATTATGATTGAAAAGAAAACTAAGTAAAGAGTTAACATATGTTGTCTTCCTATAAACATCTCTTCCTAACCTACCCTCTTCTCTTATGATGATAATGTCTAAAAAAGGTAAGAACTTATTCTCTTCCATTTGCATCGTGAACCTAATGTTCCTTTCACGCTGGTTGAGTGAAAGTAGGAAACTATCTAAACTTTCCTTACCATGATGCTAAACGACAAAATAGTCATCCATGTATCTACCCAACAATTATGGGGTTTAGTATTGCCTCTTGTAGAAAGTGTTCTTCTAGTCTTGCCACATAATTGTTCGCCAAGATGGGAGTCAGGCAAGATCCCATCACTAGTCCTTGTGTTTGTTCGTCTAACTTATCATCGAAGGTAGATTATATGGTACTCATGGATAGGTTGATAAGTTTGATACTGGAAGCTACACTCAGCCTTATTGTTTGCGTTATTCCTGGATGCTCCTACAGAGTTTGTATCAGGAGATTCATGGAAACCCAGTTTCTTCGTATTTAGAAAATATAATCTAAATGTGCACCACTGCCATTTTTGCTAGATTTGTTGTGGGTGTTAGAAATCAGATTGCTGTTGTCTACCCACGAT